AAGAAAACTTCACAGCTACTATATTATAGTCATTTAGCTGTGGGTATTCAAGAAGGTGTATGTATTTTCAACACTTTAGTCTGTGGTTGGTTTTAACTTATGCCTGACATTATTCTCCAAGGACAAATGTACCTTGTATCAAGAAAACTTCACATCTACTATATTATAGTCATTTAGCTGTGGGTATTCAAGAAGGTGTATGTATTTTCAACACTTCAGTCTGTGGTTGGTTTTAACTTAAGCCTGACATTATTCTCCAGGGACAAATGTACCTTGTATCAAGAAAACTTCACAGCTACTATATTATAGTCATTTAGCTGTGGGTGTTCAAGAAGGTGTATGTATTTTCAACACTTCAGTCTGTGGTTGGTTTTAACTTATGCCTGACATTATTCTCCAAGGACAAAGGTACCTTGTATCAAGTAATCTTATCTATGTATAATGAATATTTTCTTTGTACTAAAAAATACACACAAAAATAAGTTACTTCACACAATCCATAATTCTTGAAGTTTAAAGGAACATCTCAAAAACGTGTTATATAAAAGCAAGTGTAACTTGTCCAAATAAACTGTCCATGATCATTCCATACTTATTTATATATGTGGAAAAGAATGTTTATTTACTCTATAAATTGCTTTATGTTTATATATATATATATTTGACCCACAGGACATACACATGCAGTTAAAGACTGAGGTAGATGCACACACATATTTGACAACTTGTAATACATTCTGATAAAGTTTGCTCTGATATTGTGAACAATGATACAGACACTTTTGTGTTTATTATATGTAGCCAAATTGATTTGTATGTAAAGTTTGATGTTTCAAAAAATTGCTGACCTTTTGGCATTGAGGCATGTATTAAATAGTGTTAAGTTTTGTTCTCTTGTGGGCTTAAAACTAAGCCTTTGTTATGTACTTCACTAAATTAAAACTGTATGACATTTTTGTTCTTTTTAAACAGTGGTCAAGAGTTACTATGTTTATCAGAAAATGGAGAAGATTTTTTTGGACTGTCACATCCAACAGTCATGAGTCTTATCCAAAACAGTGCCTTTGCTGCTAAAGGTCCTTCGTACCAGTGGCCAAGCAGTAAATTCACAGTTCACCATTCAGTAGTTCGAGAGTTGGACCCTACCTTAACATTTGGTGCTCTACAGCAACTGTTTATGAATCAGTACAGTACAGGTATGAAAAGAAACATTTTTACACCAATATTAGATCATATTCTTATATATTTACACTGTAGGAGTTTACTAATTACTCTTAATCAGTACATTATAAATCTGTACCATGTGAACTATGAAAGAGAAAATACTGATCCCTGTATTTTGTAGTAGGCTGTCCTATCTTTTAATAATCATTTTATTTTTATTGGTAGTCATCAACTTGATTTTTTTGCAAGTCATTTGGTATGATACAAGAAGTATATTACTTTGATACATTCAGTTATAGTAAAAATGTCAGTAGTGTAATGCAATATTTTATATAATATTTACTTGCATTTCTGTAATTCTGATAGGATACCTTACCTCACATAATAGCTTTTTCTTGTTCAATGCTGCCCTCTATATGCAAAATATTTTCGTTCAACACTAGTCTTAAAACTTCCACCTAACCCACATTTCAGTGTGTTGTAACATGCAAATGATCATGAAAAACCCTCCACCAGTAGGAGTGCATCACACCCTCCAGTTGCAGCTGACTCTCTATACTTAAAATCCAATCTTCACTTCTCAGTTTGGCACAGTAGTGTTACAACATGTTTATTTTTGCTTGGTTTTCACCTAAATTTAAGTTTAATGTATTTCATAATATTTTTCAGACAATAATTTTTGAATTTACTCCAGTTCAACATGAATTCTAAATTTCAAACCACTACCTCTGCAGTGTCTAATACTACAGCACTTCAACCTACTGAATCTCAGGCTTCAGGTTCTACAATTTGGCTGAGGAGGTCTCAGCCTTAGGTCAAAGGGAGTTAGAGTCCATCATGAGGCCGACTGTATCTACCAAACCCAGACTTGACATCCCTTTTCCTGTAGAGTCTGGGCAAGTTGAAGATTGTTTGGATAGCCTTTTTCTGCATTCATTCTAAATTCCTTCCAGATAAGAACCTCAATGTCATTCTCCAGGTCCTTACCCAACCCCTTGGCTACCTGTTCCCTACGCCATCCCTCAAGACCTATTTTTTGCTCTTTTTTTTTTTGCCAGTGGTTGTCGTAGGTTGGATGTTTTTATCCTAGACATATGTTCTTTATCGCAGTACCTGTTCTCCTGTATCTGAATTGCAGTTTTTATCTCAAGATCAGCACCTCACAAAAGGCAACTTTCCTTTACACCAATTTCCTTCCCTTTCATTTGCCATTTTTATTCCTGATCTTATCCAGATTTACTTCTATGTCCTGTGTGTGCTCTCTGGTATTATATTGCCTACAGTGCTTCCTTCCATGGCTCCCATTCCCATTTATTTATCCCTTCCTCTCACAGATATTTAACCTACCACCCTTACAGGTTAGATTTGCCAGTTTATCAGATTGGCTTATTCTTCCTTGTCTCCTGATTCCCAACATCTTTTCCAGGTGTCATTTCATCATATCTGGCACCATATCTTCTCCTTGGCTGCTCATTTCCCTCATAGTTTGGAGGAAATCATCCAGGCTGGCATGTAGACCACACTAAACACCTTCATCTCCCATTACTTATATCATGTGGCCATTTCATCCTCATCTGGATGACACATACCATCTGGAGTCATACTCCACATATCGATTTAACTGTGAGTGGGTATGTGTGTTTTATATTTCTTTATTTCCCTTACAAGGTTACAAAATTTTCTATGTTGAATCCTACTCTGTGGTAAGTGGTGCCTGTCCAGGTATATTATTTGACTGAGGAACCCATCCTACCATTTCCTGGAGTTTGGTTCCCAAGAGGTCTGGTTTTGGAAAGAAGCTGGACCATCCAACAAATCTGCACTGTATGACTTTTCAGGTGTATAACTGTTGAGATGGGGTGTTTCACAAGACTACAAGTAAGTTTACCTCGTGGTAAATTGTGTCATAAGTATGCCTGTCCCAGACCATGCCAACTCATGAACTGTCATGAATCATGAGTAAAGCAGTGCAGGATATCTGCCCATTCTTCCAATCCTACATTCGATAAATCAATGGTCAGCTTTTAAAAATAAAGTTTCGTGGTACCCATTTCACTATCTCCAGTGTTGCATTCCTTTGGACTCTCCACCATATTATTCTCCCCTTCCCCATTCTGTAAGTGTAGTAAGGGTATCCAAACCACTTACCAGCTCCTAGCTGCTGGAGTGGTAGACCATGGAGGCTTTCTTCTTAATGTGCTCAATCCCATTCAGTTGAGATTAAGGCAATGTTGTTCTGTTGATGTAGATGGTGTTGACTGCAGACCAGAAGAAAAGTACCCGACACCACATGGTTATGGATTGGAGATGATTCAACAAAATGCAATTCACCCCTCTGGCTGGCATCCCTCATCCCACTGTGACCTGGATGTGGTCTGGTGATGGATTAGAGCTGGACCAGCAAATATAAGTTCTCACACATGTTGTGGTAGGGAGTCCTACTAAGGACTGGATGATAAATTCCCAATGCTGCCAGGTTTTGGATTTGAGTGAACCACCATGTTGCACACCCCCTTTCTACATCCTCCACATAATGGTAATGCAAAATGCTGTGGATATATGTGTAGAGGTTTTGCAGGTGGAAGGATACATACCCAATGTTGCCTGGTCTTGGACTGGAGTTGATCTACTGATTATTATCTGATGTCCCCTAGCCACTCTACACCATTTGGCATGTCCAGTTATAGTATGAATGTGCATCTTTTCTGCCAATTTAGTGACACGTACCTTCACACCAGGCAAAGAGTACCCGTTTCTTATGTAGTGCAGATTCCCGCATGTTAGTTACTTTACAAAGAGATGTCACACCTGTGGGTGTTCTTCAAATGCCTTCCAAAGGGTGCTCATCTAGGTAAATTTTCACCAGTCCCTCCAGTGTGGGATTCTAGCTATTATGGGGACAGAGGTAAGGTATCATATCGGAAGTTATAATTTTCCTACACTGAAAATGTTTCTGAGAGATACCTCCTCTCACATTTCCCAACCTTCCTTCCCACTTCTGGTGCTTCTTTTATGCCTAATCTCGAAGTGAATTTGGGGTTCTACAGTATAGAGGGATTCATCTTCAACAGGAGGGTTGTCGCATGATCATTTGCATGCTACAATGCAGCTGAACCACGCTGAAATGTGGGAGTTTCAAAACTAGTTATATAGAGGGCAGCACCAAACAAGAAAAGATATTATGTGAGAAAAGGCATGTGTGGGAAAATTATAACTTCTGACACAAATAGAATTTTGTTGTATATATGTTATTATATTCCTGAATTTTATAAAATCTTAAATTATTTCTCATTTACTAAATTTTTATTGTTGTTGTTTTGCACTTTTGCTGCACTGCACTGAAATATTATTCTCATTTGTTCTTGTTTATTGAAAAATAAGTTGTTTATTTATTGAAAGATCATATAAGTTAACTAAACAGAAAGTACACATTTTTAATAATAATTCTAAATGAAAACTTCTCAGTGCTATGTAACATTTCTCTAATGTAGAGGTTGGAAATGCACCCTTGACTCAAGCAGTTCCATTGGCATCCATGGATATTAACGTAACATCAGCTATTCCAGCAGCAAGTCCTAGTTTACAAGCACTGTTGTTAGGTGGAAGTCACAAGTCTAATATCTCAATAACTCCTACCAAAGAAAAGTGAAACTTTTATGTAGAATTAATTACAGATATGTAGTTATTTTTGTGTGCAAATATTTAGTATTTATTTTTCAGAACAGGTTTGAAGAGAGATGTAATTTAAAGCAGCCAAGTTTCAAGCAATATTAAAATACATGTATTTAAGTGATGAATTTAGTGTAACTTGAAAACATAATAGTTGATATGGGAATACGAAGGGTGTGTTGTGTATCAGGTTAAAATTTTAAGAAGAATACAGAGTAAAATGAACACTATGACTTTCTTCATAATTTTGTGATATACAAACATGTGAACTTGACTGTAGCAATCTTGATTGTCTGTACTTAGATTTTGGTAAGAAGTTAGAATAATGGTATTCTGAAGGATGGAATTATTTCTAGAAGATACATATAACGTATTGAATAACAAGTCCAAAGAAACTTTATTATGCTAAGCCAGACTTGCTGCTTGAAGCTATTGTGAAGTATATTTTGCTTTTGATCCATTTTTAAAATAATGCATGATTGAAAGCTTTTCTAGTTTTTAAAACTTACCGTCATTTATTGAATGTTTTCTTTTGTTTCTTAAACTTCAAATTCAAACTCTTTCTATTTGTTATTTTTAAATGGTAGTCTGCACTTGCATACACAAAAATTTGTAATCAGAAATAGCAAAAATTATAAATTACAAAAAATATATATATGTTTATTGGAAATATTGAACTGTTTTTTGTTTAATTAAAAGTACTATTTTATTGATAATAAAACTCCTTCTAGTTGAATAACTTTCTCTTCATTCCATTCTCATATTTAATTTGTGATCTTTTACCTGTAATTGGATTATATAAGTCTTTCTTACCACTTGTAGAAATATTTCAAGTAATTGACCAAGAACATTTTAATACAATTATTTTATTGTAAATCTGTTCTTAAAATAAGTTAATGTAAATGGTTTTCTTTCTCAGTAACTTTCTTGAATACTTCATGATTATATTTGTATTATGCATGTTTTAAAAAGAGAATAATAATAAATTTTCTATACAATTAGTGCCATTTATTATTTTTATAAGTTGCATATATAGATGGAGACCAACCATGCAAGTTTCAGTTTTTCAATAGATGGCACCACATTTTGAAAATTACTATTTTCTGTGATTTACATTTGATATATATATATGGACAGATACAATTTTACAAACAGAGCTTAAATAAAAATCCTTTTACTAGTAATACCATTGTCATGAATTTAATAATGCACTTTGAATTATTTTTATTTTATATGAAAACAGTGTAGATGTATAGATACCTATCATATTCCTCATACCAGAAATTCTAATTTGCTAAAACACAGAAGTGAGAAAGTTGCTTAGTTACTTTACCAAGTTTACAACAGGATTTCCTGTATTTATATATTTTTTTCAAACTTTAAAATTCAACTAATAACTTCAAGATAAGTAAGTGTAAATATAACTAAAATCTAAGATATGTTTTAAAAGACAAAAATCAGACAAGTTTTGAAAAAACTTTTATTCTATACAATTGAAGGCTGGCCAGTCCTACATGATCAAGCTTTTAAAGAAAAAAACTTTGGATTTTTGTACATGGGGAAGACATAACATAATTTTACATTTGTTACTATAAAATCTTTAAAGAAATATAGACACTCAATTTACTATCATATAAACAGATGTTAACCAACAATGAATTTTTTCATTCAATCTTTAGGCTGGTTATGATCCAGTGGTTAGTAGGTTGTGACTGAATCTGACCCATTGCCACAAAAACATGATATACATTTTTTGAGGATTTGAATATTCTGTAAAAGTGACAGTCAAATCCCACTATTTTGTCAGACAAGCACTGGCAGTGGATGCTGTTGACTAGCTGCCTGGCTTGATGGTTAGGACTCCGTACTTGAAATCTGCAAACTGGAGATTGAAACCAATTGCCAATCATGCTTGCCCTTTCAGCTGTGGGGGAATTATAATGTGAATGTCATCTCCATTATTAATTGGTAAAGAGTTGGCAGTGAATGGTATTAACTAGCTGCCTTCTCTCTAGTTTTATTAATACAAAATTAGGGATGGCTATGCATAGATAGTCCTTGTGTAACTGAAATTGAAACAGATATAGAACCTTCAATACATAAAATGGATCTAATTTAACAAAAAAGAATATTTTCATTTTATTCTCTTTTGTTCTAAAACATTGTGGATGAATTTTTTTTTGCCAATGCATAAAAATACAACTTGTAACTGTTGCTGTAGCTATTTAAATAGAATTGTTAAAAACAATATTTTTTCTAAGAGTAACTTGTAACTAGTAGGCTAATCTGTCACCTTAGTTAGTAAAAACACTTTCTGAGTGAGTGATTATTCAAATGTTTAAAAGTAAAGCATCTGTTAGGAATACCAGAGCCTCAACTTTAACCAGTTCACCTAAAGAATTAACCTAGAATATATTGCTAGAAAGCCAAACCAATTCACCTAAAGAATTAACCTAGAAGCTATTGCTAGAAAGCCAAACCAGTTCACCTAAAGAATTAGCCTAGAAGCTATTGCTAGAAAGCCATATTTTAGTTAGTTTTGTCAGAAGCAAAGAACTGTAAAAATTATAAAGTACAATATTTTAAAGTTTAGATACTCTTCACTAGAGAATACCTCAAAAAATTTTAGTAAGAGATCAGAGTGAATGTGAGACCTGTTAACAGACTTGGTGTAAATCAGAAAAGTAGTCATACACAAAGAGAGTGTAGTGGTTTGTACTAAAAATTCACAGGTTTTGCAGAAATAAGACCATTTGTTATCTAATGATTAAGTATGGCATCAATATGCATATAGGGAAGGACTGAACTGTTTCCAGTGAAATTGTATTAGTAAAATTAAAATGGAGTCTGAAGTAGTACCTCTTCCTTTCTTTTTTTTTATCAGAATTATTATATGCTTTTGGCAGAGTAGTTGTTATGTAGGAAAACAACTTGTTGAAAACATTGTATGAAAATGTTATTTCTTCATTTATGTGCAGTTTTTTAAAAGCATGGTTATGGAATAGTATTTTTTATCATCAATAATTTTAAAGTATGTAGTTCTATTTAGTTTTAGATTGAACTAATGAATATTTATAAATCAGTAATGTTATGAAAATAGTCCCCTTT